TTCTGGCGGCATAGCTGGACCTGTTAACTGGACTTTGGCTTTGTGAAGGAATTGGAACAGAGGGGTTAACTATGAAAGGAACAAACTGTGAAACTAAAGCTGACTGATAATTAGGGCATAAAGAAGGATGGCTCAAAGGATTAAACCTATTATTAATTGGAATTGGAGAATAACCTGGAAAGGGCATAAGTTGGGAGGATGGCTCTTGCTTAGCTGGCATTAAGGAAGCTGGGAGGATTCTGGGTTGATTTTGGCTTGGCTGGCTGGGTTGACCATACTGCATTTTTTGCTTGTCTTTTTCTTTGCTGGACATGATTCTGCTTGTTTGTCCTGTAGGAACTCTCTTGTAAGAAAATTTGGAATACTGTTTTCACTGCCTCTCAAATATTCTAACTCAAAATCAAAAACACTCAGAATGCCCTGCCATCTTGCAAAAATTTGCTTACTAGCTATATTTTTAACATCCTTTTCTAAAACATGCTTTACTGACTTACAATCAACTCTGACCAAAAACTTTTGATTTAGTAAATCATCCTGAAATTTGCTTATGCATAATACAATAGATAAAATCTCTTTTTTAATAGTACTATAATTAACTTGAGATTGACTCCAAACTCCGGAATGAAAACTGACAATTTGCTCATGAGACTCAGGGTTAACTCTTTGCTTTAGAATACCACCATAACCAGACTCAGAGGCATCTGTTTCAACAATTTTAAAAGAATTAACTGAAGGAATACCAAGGCATGGAAGTGACTTGACATGGACTTTAATTTGTTTAACTATTTCTGTATGACTTAGTGTCCAGGCAGGAGGATTGCTCTGGAGACAATCAAACAGGGGCTTGCATAGCTTTCTTAGATTTTGATAGAAATCAGAAACATAATTCAAAGATCCTAAAAATCTCTGAAGTTGACTCTTCTCTAGAATTTGATCTGGAAATTTATCAGCAAACTGGATAACTCGGTTGATTGGGCTTATTTGGGATTGACTGATGTTGAAGCCTAAAAACCTAATATTAACTTGGAATAACTTAATTTTCTTAGCAGAAAGAACTAAACCATTTGACTTAACTATCTGGAGAAATTTACTCAGGTGTTTCCAGTGCTGCTCAATTGACTCAGAAAAGATTAAAACATCATTAATATAAACTATGGAAAAGTGACTGTAGGAATTAAAAATTTCATTCATTATATTCTGGAATTCACTAGGCGCATTTTTTAATCCAAAAGGCATGACATTCCATTCATAGTGACCGAAAGGGGTTACAAAAGCAGTTTTATATCTATCTGACTCTTTAATTTGAATTTGCCAAAAACCACTCTTCATATCAAATTTACTAAAGATAACTGCATTTTCTAATCTGTTAACTAGATCTCTTTTATTAGGAATTGGGTATCTAATCCATTCTAAAACTGAATTAAGGGGCTTATAATTGATAATTAGGCGAGGGGCTCCTCTTTCTAACTCGGCATTTTTCTGAACATAAAAGACTGGACAAGACCAGGGTGATTTACTCTTTCTAACTATTCCTTTGTTGACTAGATTCGTGACTTCGGCTTTGCATAATTCCATTAATTCTTGGCTCATTTGAATTGGACGGGCTTTGGTTGGAATATTATTTTCACTAAATGTCCTGACATAAGATAAGGAAACGACATGCTGCTTTCGGTGCCAAAAAGCATTGGGCATATCAGAATAGACTTCATTTTTGAACTTTCCGTCAAATTTACTAATTTGTGACTGTAGTAACTTATCAGCTAATTGTTGTTCTACTCGTTTAAACTTGATTTCTTCTTTAAGGAAATTAATTTGATTTGTTTTATTCTGAATTAATTTAACTGACTTGGACACTACTGACTTTTGGAGTAACTTAAGACTGTGTAATTCTGGTTTAGTTAAAAACTCAAATTTGACCTTTTCTCCTAATTGACTTGAGGTGACTCCATCATATTCTACCTGGAAAGGATAAAGTAGTGAAATAAAAGGTAATCCTAAAATTACTTCATCCGTGATATTCTGGATCATGACAAAGGACGTCTTAAAGCATATTTTATTCTGGCAAACATGGGTTTTGGGTAATTCATATTTTAACTTCAAGGCTTTACCGGACGTTGTTCCTAGAACTTCTTTTGACTTCTTGTAATACTGGGTTGGAACTAAACCTTCCTGTATACAATTTAAATCGGCTCCTGAATCAAATAAGGCAACTGTATTTAACTCAAATTCGTTAATAAAAATACTAACTCTGGAATACCATTTTCTAAAATTAATTTGTTTAATTAAGTTAATTACTTTATCTTCTTTATCGGACGACTCAGGTTCTGACTCAGAACTAGACTTTCCAAAGGGATTACTAGACTCTGCTCTAGATTCCATTAACTTAATTAACTAGATCATGTTTAATTTCATAATTCTCAGTTTATAACTTTTGACTTATTTGTTTCAACTCTAAAATTTCTTTCTTAATTGTTTTGGTTTCTAACTAGAGATCCTGAAGGGTAACTTCTTTCTTTTTACTAAACCTTTCTAAGGTGGCATTAAGACTTATCTTAGGAGGCGTAGGAGAATTAGACTCTTATATATATATATATCACTGCCCTCTTTATCAATCTCAAATAAAATTATTTTAGGGACTCTTCAATTGAAACTCACTATGATATCATGTTATTGTAATTACTTAATCATATTGAGTCAATGTTCGATCTTTTGTCAACCTTATATTTATTGCTAGATCGACAAGTTGTTTTACCTCAAGATGTACAACACATATAAGCTGGTCCAAAAAGTTGAATAGCAATCCACACAATAAAGTGATACCAAAATGAATGGATATGAAGTATTATAGAAGGTGCCATGAAGTATATATCTATCTATCTATCTTTTTCGACGTGATACACATGCTAAGTTCAGTAGTCTTTACAAACCCTACAAATGCTTGGCTTGGCTCATGGGCTGAATGTTTGGTTTCGAACTGCAAAGTTATGCATATGGTATTGGCGACACAGCTGCCAATACTACTATATATAACTTACCTACATAGTTATTTTTTTATTTTCTTCTTTCTTGCTATCTTGTTCCAGTAGAACAAGGCTAAACTAAATTGATTTTATTACATAAAGAAATTTCTTCAAAATCTTGTCAGTTAACATTTTCCAAAAAGTTTACTAACTGTACATATATATAACCGATTTTTTTTTCTTTCTTTATAGCAAACGAGGGAAATTTGAACTAGGACCGAGTTGTTAATTAGTTAATTACAAAACTTGTTCAAAGATATACCAATAATTTATTATAGGAATTATTATGATTTTTATGATAATACAAACTAATCTGTAGGTTTAGTATTTAGTACTATAGGCAAGGAGACTAATATACACTTATGTGTACAATGATTATATTAATTTTAAAAAGCTTAATCATTTTATAGATTATAAGTGAAGCATGTGTTTCTAGTATATAGTATCGGATCCCCAACTCTGCATTTAGAAAGTACGCATTTACCCGCATTTCATAAAATCTCAAGCATTCAAATCGGAGAGGAATGTTAGTAGCTCTTGGTTTCTCAATAGGCAAACAGGTGCTGGAATAGGCTTCTTTGCAAGATAGATTGCAGTTTTTAAGTTGGTTAGTTGGAGACTTGAGCAGAATCTCCCGAACATTTTGAAATACTTGACCAACATGAGTGTATAAATTCAAAAAGATTTAAAAGATATGACTATTAGTGATGTAACAATATATATATCTAAGTTTATGATGCAGGTATTGAAATGATTTTTTATTTTTATTTTTCATTTTCTTATTCAGAGCAGAAAAAGAATGAGAATTGAACTCTTTGTGGTAGATGTAGACGTAAATGGTCCAATAATTGGAGAAGAAACTGGGGAAAGGCCAATAGAAGATACCAGTTCCACGTTGCTTCTTCTCACCTCAACTTGTCTGACAGCTTTCTTCTCACTCTGTGGTTATCTTATCTGCATATAGACTTGTGTGGAGGGAAAAAAACAGAGAGCCAAAAGAGGACACATTGAAAAAGTAGCTCACTTTTGCTGTATAAATAATCTGCATTTGCAAGCACTGCAATGCACGCACTGTTGGGAAAATGGCTCACCTAAGGATACAAGGTTGGTTTTGGCGCTGAAAGGAAGATTTTGAATCTGCCTAAAAGCGACCGGTCGCTAGGCATTTGCGACCGGTCGTTTTGAAGCAGATTCGAAGTCTGGAGCAACATCAACGAGCGACCGGTCGCCAGTTCTTTGCGACCGGTCGCAGGAAGCTAGCGACCGGTCGCTTAGCATTTGCGACCGGTCGTTTAGAAGCAGATTCAAGGTCTGGAGGAAAAACCAAAAGCGACCGGTCGCCAGTTCCTGGCGACCGGTCTCCCAAATCGTGCTGTGACGTTTTTCTTACGTGTTTTCAACTGTGTTTTCGAGGGCTATCGCTTTCCACAAGATTTCAGAGGCTTAGTGGGTCACTTCTGAGTTAAATGAACGTTGACTACCTGCTGGATAGTTGGGAGAGCACTCATGGCTAATTGGTTATCTTATTTCAAAGATATCACTCTCCATTTTCTGGTGTAAGTATAACCTTTGTTAACACAGAGTTCAATCACAAGCGTTTTCTTAAATCTCTAGGATCCAATTCCCTTGATGGCTTGGCTGATTTTCGGTTCGAAGCCATCCCAGATAGCCTTCCGGATTCAAATGAAGACACCACACAAGATGTCACTTTGCTTGCTGAGTCCGTCAGAAAAAATTTCTTAGCTCCCTTTCGTGCCCTTCTTTTAAAACTCAACAATGATGCCATAGAAACATCCAGCAATCCTCCAGTGACTTGCATAGTTTCAGATGGTTTCATGTCCACGTTCACAATCACAGCTGCTGAAGAAATCGGAGTCCCTATAGTCCTGTTCTACACTATAGCTGCATGCAGCTTCATGGGAATTAAACAACTTCGCACTGTGGTCGAAAAAGGACTTGCTCCACTCAAAGGTGAAATATATAACTATTAATTGAAGCAATTGTTGTTTAACTTATGGTTAACTCTTAACTGCTTGTTTCTAAACATGCAAATGAAATGTTTCTTCAATTGAATTTCATTTGTCTATTGCAGATGAGAGCTGTTTCACAAATGGCTATCTGGACACCGTAATAGATTGGATCCCGGGAATGAGAGATATCCGGTTGAGGGATCTCCCGACCTTCTTCCAAACCACAAATCCGGATGATGTCATGCTTAACTTCATCATGGAATCAACCGATAGAGCTCATGAAGCTTCAGCAGTTGTTCTACATACTTTTGATGCCTTGGAGTCAGATGTTTTGGATGCTCTCTCATCTATGCTTCCCCGTGTGTACACCGTTGGCCCTCTTCAATTGCATCTCAATCACATACCAGAACACCCTTTGAAAATGGGATACAGTCTATGGAAAGAAGAAACTGAACGCCTCGAGTGGCTAAACACCAAGGCACCAAACTCAGTTGTCTATGTGAATTTCGGCAGTATAACAGTCATGACGCCAGAACAGCTTGTAGAGTTTGGGTGGGGACTTGCAAATAGCAAGCTTCCATTCTTTTGGGTAATTAGACCTGATCTAGTTATTGGAGAATCTGCTATTTTGCCGCCAGAGTTTGTGGCTGAAACTAAGGAAAGAAGTCTAATAGCTGGGTGGTGCCCACAAGAGCAAGTCCTTAACCACCCATCAGTTGGAGGATTTTTAACGCACAGCGGTTGGAATTCAACGGTTGAGAGCCTTACTGCAGGAGTTCCTATGCTCTGTTGGCCATGCTTTGGAGACCAGCAAATGGACTGTCGCTATACTTGCAATGAATGGGGCATTGGCATGGAGATTAGTAATGATGTCAAGAGGGATGAGGTAGAGAAGCTTGTCAAAGAGTTAATGGAGGGTGAGAAGGGTAAGAAGATGAAAAATAAGGTCATGGAGTGGAAGAAACTTGCAGAAGAAGCTACTGGTCCACATGGTTCTTCATCCACAAACTTGGACAATTTAGTGAATCAAGTGCTATTAAGAAAAAGCTAAAGATTTTACCAGAAGATTTTAATTATTATTATTTATTTCTATTGTCTCAAATAATCAACTAGCTAGCAATATGTACTAAGGCCTGTAAAACTTATGTTACTAGCTAGCAATATGTACTCAGGCTAGAATTTTGTTTTCTCTAAGATTTTAATTAATTATGTTCAAATTATATATTGATGTCTTCCACAAATACTATATGCTCCAGTGTTGACTCCTTAGGCCAAGTCCAGCGTATGACCAAAACCGGGCTAAAGGCCCCCCGGGCTAGCCCAAAACGATTCCAGCGGCAAAAAAGAGGCCCGGGCAAGTGGAGGGTCCCACCAATCTGGGCAAGCCCACGGGCAAATCTTGCCTGGATTGAAAGCCGAAGGTGCTGACATTAGGCGTGACATCACGCTGACGTCAGCACAAATCAAATGTTTTTTACCGTTGGTGTGTGAATTTCATGCGCCAACAATAAAAAAATTTTGACTTGCGCCCACTGACGTCAGCGCCTGCTAGCCCCAACGGGCAGAAGCCACGTGGCGGTTCCCCAGCTCTCAGATCCATTTTTTTGTAGGAATCCGAAGATCCTCATTTTTTCTACCAAAAAAATTGCAAAAAATTCGAAATAAATTCATAAATTTTTTTAAAAATACCAAAAAAATTCTGGATTTTTCCATATAAATACCTATCAATTTTATTCAACTTCCACACCAAATCTTCATACCAACTCTTCTCTCTGCAATATTTTTTCCATTACACTCACATTTTTCTACTAGTTTCCATTTGTATCAAAAAATAAATGGCCTCTTCTGTCGAAGCCTGAGGCGCTTGGAGTAATGTTGAAGATGTTGTGTTGTGTGAGTGTTGGGTGAAAGTTAGTCATTGCCCTATATCTGGCAATGAGATGAAGTTTTCTCAAATGTGGAAAAAAATTCATGAAGAATTTGTTGAAAGATTCAGTTCGGGTCGGATAGAAATGGCCTTAGCCTCCAGGTGGAAAATTTTGAATAAAGAGTTAGGCAAATGGAGGGATGCCTTGGCAAAAGCTAGGGAGAACCATAGAAGCGGTCAAAATCTTACCGATTAGGTAAAATATTTATAATTCTCATTTTATTTAATTTAATGTATCAAATTTTTTTTCTTGCATATTATAATTTTTTTTTCTTGCATTTCTAATTTATTTATATTTTGTTGCATAATAATTTTTTTGCTTGCATTTGTAAATGCTTTATATTTTCTTACATATTTATTGTTTTGTTGTATAATCATTTTATTTATTGCATTTATAAAATGTTTATAATTTGTTGCATAATCAATTCTTTTCTTGCATTTCCAAATTATTTATATTTTCTTCTATATTCATTTTTTTTTGTTGCATTTGCAACTATTTATTTTTAATAGATCGTACAAGCACAAATGTGGTTCGGTGCGACGGGGCAAGGCAAAAATACTTTCCAACATCAAGAATGTTGGGAAATTGTTAAGAATTGTTCGAGATTCAAAATCATTTGCACTACTCCACCGGTTATGTTGAATGAGACGCCGCTCCACGATTCGCCGACAACGGATTCGCCATTGGACTCCCCAATGGATCAAGACTCACCACTTCCACGTGCGCCAAGACCTATTGGGAGAAAGGCGGCAAAGGCAAAGAAAGGGAGCACTTCGAACAATGAATGTGCACAATTTTTGGAGCAAATGGCTAAGAATAGTGCACTGAGACATGAGAGAGACTTGAAAAGAGAAGAAGCGGGCAAGGCACGACAGGAAGCATTTTCAATTCAAAGGCAGCAGGCACAAGAACAAGACATGGAGGATAGAGAGATGAAAATCATGGCCATGGATACCACCCATATGTCTCCTGAAACAAAGTCATACTGGAAAATGAAACGAAAGGATGTGATGAAAAGAAAATTTTTTCATGATGACGGACCTAGCAATACGGATTGGTTAAATGATGGAAACCATTAGGTTGGATTAAAAGATTTGTCATGTATTAAGAATTGTTGTATTATTTCCTTTTTATTCAATAAAAAAAGTATTAAATAATATGAGGATGTATTAAAAATATTTGCAAATGAAAACAAAGTTTAATTAAAAACAAACCTTATTTTATTGCAAACAACACACAAAATAAAGCATAATTAAGAACAAAACAAAATTAAAAACAAAACATAATTCCAAACACACCACACACAAAATAAAGCAATCTTAAAAACAAAGCATTAATCTTGTCTTCATCCATTGTGATTGTCTTTCATCTCCCACAAGTGCTTGATCAAGTCAATTTGACGCCTCTCGTGAACATACGAAGATTGCATTTTTTGGTAACGATCAATCATGGGGTTGTTGAATCGACCATCTCAAACTAACAGTTCGTGCTCCAATGGATGTCCATTTGGTCCCATCGGCCTTTCATAAATTCTTGTCAAGGCCGTGTTCATGGGATCCGATTCGTGCTCCTCAAGAGCTTCATAATCATACTCATCCTCCACAATCATGTTATGGAGGATGATGCAAGTCATCATAATGCTTCGCAGCACATCTTCATCATACATTCGAGCAGCGCCCCTAACACTACTACAAAAAGAGAAAAAGACGACGGCAGAACATAAAACCGTTGTTGTATTTAAACCGACGACGGTATAAAAAAAAACCGTCGTGGATAAGTGCCTTACTGTTGAATATTTTTAAAAGACGACGCATACAAATAAAAAAGCATCGTTTTTTTAAAAAGGATTTCTTCAGAGTTAAAATCTGACCAAAAAACAACGACAGCAGGTATGAATCCACCGACGTAGAAAATAAAGACGACAGTTCACCAAAAAACCTGCCGTGTTAACTCCTAACTAAACACAACCAACTGTTCTTAATCCGCGTCGTATAATATAATGGAATCCACGTCTGTATACTACGACGGTGCCTTCTCTGTAAACCATCGTCTTAATTTTTATTTCTTTTTAAGATTTAATTATTTTTTAATTTTGGTAGCCTACGAAAATTAAAATGAGATCCCAAGAGGTATGATA